TCGACGCAGGATGTCACGCTTATTCTGAATATGTAACTCTTGTTCAGAAATATCAAGGGAAAATTTTGACCCTTATAAGTCCCCGTCCTTTTTTGACCCTTTTAGATCTCCAGAAACATGCTTTCCTTCTAAGACTTCCTGACGCCATCCAACAGCCAAATAGAGTCAATTATCATTAATTTGCCAAGTAAATGGTAAATGAATTATTTACTTTGCTTTTGGAAAAAGTAAACAATCATTTATCATTCACAGTGGAGGAGGATAAATGATTATTTCCATTAAAATAAAATAAATAATTCATTTGATTTTCTGAGCAAAAGCAGCTGATAGGAAAAGTAAGTGATACATTCCTACTTTATCTTTTTTTCAAGTAGTAGCTTCTGTAACGCATAGCACCATGTGATAGGTCGAAGATACGTTATCCTTTTTACCATACACATGTGTAAGGAGTTTCACCGAAAAAGCAAAGGAATATGCTCGAAAAAACAAAAATTTTTGCGAAATGCTTTTTCCAGGTCGGGTCTGTGTCGTATTTTCATGTATGGTTGGATTGAAAAATAATCGGTGCAATACTCACAGTTACAGGTAAGCCGAGGCATACTTTGAGAAAAACAAGAAAAGGGTTGCTGTGAAGCAATTATTCTAATGATGATTGCGAGATCGTTCGTAGTTTAAAGAAAACAGGAGAAAAATAACCTTTTAGGGTGATAACGGATCTAAAAGAAGTTGTAAACGTTCGTTTGCATTCGTTGGGATCTCTGCTTCAGCTCGTTGAATTCGCATATTCCAGTAGGCGCTAACCGCACCCGACACATTTGTTCTAGTCGTAATGTCTCTTGTCAAGTCCGGATCTGATCTGTGAGCTCGTCCTCTTAGCCACTCACTACACAATTCCGAATTGAAACGTGCTGCACCAAGAATACGAATTAGACGGGCATCGTGGTGAGTCGTATATTTCGATGTTATATTGTTGAAATGTATCTCAGCCTTTTTACATGCGTCCTCGACCGATACCGTCGGAGAAATGAATATACGCATGGCGAGACAAAAGTCTGTTTCAATTTTTGTTCGAATATCGTCAGTTGTTTTTGTTTGGAAATAATCCAAAAGATGAGACAATTCATCCATAAATTTGGCTCCTGATGGGTAACGAAGAAGACAAATAAAAAGATGAATACGAGCCTGGAATTGGTCGAATTCGGATGCATGTTTATCGGATAATTCTTTTGAACGGCAAAATTGTTCAAGAGCATCCATACAATTAGACGATAAAACCCAATCTGCCTGTCTCATACAGATGGAGCCGAGCACGTTTAAACTGGCAACAAGACCACGCATATGTCCAACCTCTTCTCGAATTTCGCAAGCTTCTTTTATTGTTGTTACTGCATCATTGAGTTCGTCAGTATTAGACGCCCATTGGTATTTGTGTAATGCTAGTTCATGCAAATTCATGGCTTTTGTGTGCAACAAAGCAGTTTTGGGTACGGCATCAAGCCATTCCTTTACTACGTCGGATGGTTCCTCACTGTTAGGCAAATATCGCCTCAATTGTGCAAGTAGCATTGCAGCATCAAGTGCAACATTACGCTCACGACCTACATCCTCACAATCCTGCGGACGACCATAATCATCGAGTAAATTTTTTAAAATGTCTATTGCCGTAGCTGCGCCCTCTTTTTCGACGAAACGTATTACAGTAGCTTTCAGAAGCTGCGCTTTCGATTTTTCCCAACCAATTTGCGACAGCGGTGCTGTCTCGGCTGCTTCCATTGCATCTTTCATTGCCTGGATACGTTCTGTTCTACTGCCGATTTCAATTGCTGCCTCGGCACTAGCTAGTTTTGCAATACAATATTCTCGAGTACCAACAATGGCTGCTTGAGCAGCACAATCGAAATACCATTTTGCATCCGAAAAGTAGGAAAGATGCGCAAGCATAGCTCCACTGACAGTATAACTTTGCCATTTTGTTGGCATCGGTAGTAAAAATTCCTGTTTGTTTTCTTCTTCCTCCTTAACAGGAACAGCCGCTGCCGGATGGTCTTCTCTGAGTCGAATAATTGTTCCATACAGTTTAGCTATTCTTACTAACACATCGGTTAGATTAGTTGTTACCAGCACCGTTAGACGGTCGGCAACTTTCCGTTCATTCCACGCACAGGCTAAACCAATAAGACCTCTATCGAATTGTGAAATATTAGTCGGAACATTATTGACAATATCAATACCGCTCCAAAGTACCTGCTCTGAACAGCTTTTCTCCGTTATTTGTTGAACCCAAAGTACACGTTTCGGTATTTTTGTCGATTTTAGCCAACCTGTTATATCGAAATCGTCACTGCCTGAATAACCAATAACTAAGAGCTGACGGGTTTCTACTAAATACTGCAAAAACATACGACGATTGTCCGATTCTCGTGTGGATGATAGATGTCGAAATGTTGCTACTGGGCCTCCGTCTTCATCAGCTCGAACAAGAGACCACGAATTATTTTCCCATCTGGCAACCGTGCCATGAATTTTCCACAAACCTTTGAATTCAGGTAGTGATGATGCACTATTCCCAAGAGAATTACGAGCTTTCTCGAAATCTGCTTCCGTATAAAAGACATTAAAAGGAACAGTGTTTGGATTGTAACTGGGTCGATATCGGCCTGCATCTTCAATAAGATGATCAAAATTCGTTGTAATAACAGTCGACATAAATGCGAGAACAGCAAGAGCATCATGTGTTCGGCTTGGTCGTGACGTGCCACTATTAAGAATATCGAGAACGGACAAATTTGAGTCGATATACTGTTGAATAATATCAAAAACACCTTCGAAACGTATGCGAGGCGGCCCTGTCCAAAAATATGGTTTAATTATTTCCCATGCCGTAGGACGGTCTGCAATCTGCCATTCTGTGGGCGATGTGTACGATTTAACAAGCTTTCGTAATCCACTGGTCGCTAATAGTTGGAAATTTGTAGAAGTCTCACCGTAAAGTATCGCAAATGGCGACGATGCAAATTGCTCCAGTCCCAATAAAGCCAGTTCATTTAATTGTTCCTCATCTATAAATGATTCAACTTTGGGACAATAGGAGGATAGGTGTAACAGATTATGCGTAATCAATTCATCATTTATCAGTTTTTGCTGAGGTACTACGGTCACCTGATGACTTGCCGTGCAACAAAATTGAGGACTGAATTTTTGTGGATTTTTTTCTTTCCCACTATTGACGTCACTAGCACCAACTAACTGATGGCTTCTAACGGTTTGGCGGTACTGCTGCCGAATATCATCTACCATTTGCTTCATTAACATTCTTTTTAGAAAGAAAAGAATCGAAGGTGTGAACGAACACTACAACAGTTAGTAGTTATTATTTCAGAGGAAATAGCTAGGACACAGATCTAATCCGGTTTGTTAACCTAAAATTTGATAAAATATCCAGATTTGATCTAAAATTTTTTTATGAATACCGAAAAGAATACTGCGAAAAACGAAGTTGTTTACTATATTATTCCAAATAGCGTAAAATTTGTCCTGTATTCATAGTATACAAAAATGTAGAAAGTTTTCAGTGATCCTGAGTACAGAACTACGTTAACCCTTTGAGGACCGGTGGTCCAAAAATGGACCACCTATTTTTCAATAAAGGAAAAACTGTTTAGTTTACATTAAACTAATACACATGTAAGGTTATTAAGGTCATAAACAACTACATGTGTCA